CAGGAACAGCACTTGTGAATCTGGAATCATTCATCCAATACGCAAAGCAATAAAGCTGTCGCTGACGACAACATTCCCGCAGAACTGTTGTCGTGGGGAACTTACACGGCGAAAGTATGCTGGTGAATGCCCTATACTTCCTACCTCAAAAATTGTGGAACACTGAAAAGATGCCAATGAATGGAAAATTGTAATCATCACCCAGTTTCAAAAAAGGTGAGTCGAGAAAGTGTTCAAACTATCTTGATATTTCGCTGCTGTGCCCAGCTTCAAAGTTTTGGCAGCTGTACTGAAAAATGGCCTAAGTCAAAATGTGAATCGCATGAAAGAAAGAATGCGACAGGATTCAAAAAGGGTCGTGGTTGGCGTGTGAATTCGACAGATCTTAGAACTACGCACTCATTATAGCCGCACCTGTATGCACCTGTTTATCGTTTTTAAAGCTGAATTCGGCAGCGTAAAGAGATACAATATGGGTTACCTGCTCTAGCCTTGGACTCGACCGAAAAGTTATTGCTATTTTGAGAACCATGTATACTGGAGTTGTCTGCTAAATCAGAGTCTACGAAACACTGTCACGAAAATTCTCGGTGACAAGCGGTGTAAGAGGGGTTGATCTTATTTCTTTTCTTTTCAATCTAGTAATTGATCAGGTCATGTTCTCGGCTCTTAAAGGCAGCAGACATATAATTGCTCTCGGCGAACGGCTGTAGCAGAACTGGATTTTGCTGTTGATATTTGCTGACTAGAAGACAATGAAACCGACGTTCAGATTTTTATTAAACCGAGTAGCAACAGAAGCAGCACAAACCGAGTTTGAAATCAAATTTAAACCAAAGTTCTGCTCAAATTTAACTATCTAGGAAGCAACGTTCAATAGGACGAAAACATTTCGCATGAAGTCACTGGGAACTGGAAGGGCCATTGGTAGCTTTAGAAAGTTCAACAATGTCTGGAAGTCTCACTACTTACCCTTTAGACTATAAGCTGAAGTTTGCAACGCTTGGTGGTAGTACTCTTGTCTATTTGCATGGCCTGTGAATTCCATGGACAATCTGAAATCCTTGGAAATTTGATGTGCTAAATATATAGCCCCGAGAAACCGAGTTGTGCCATCGCATGCGGTAAGAGTAGTGTTGAAGCTCGAAATTGGTATTGTTGAAGTTCTTCAAACACGAAGATTCAAATGGTTGGGCCATGTTTTGCGAATGAGAGAAGACGAAATTCGCAATGCTAATCTGGAATTCATGAAAGCAGATTCGTGGAAATGACCACCAGGTGGTGATCGTACTACCTGGCGTAAAGTCGTAAAAAACGACCTGAAGTGCAACTAAAGCCGAGGAGGATGTCCGTCAAGAGATAGAATGAGTGCTGGTTTGATAGTGACTAGGTAGCGTTCGGGATGTTCAAAAAGTGGGCAATGGGCTGTGATTTATCAAATGACCTACAAGTAACAATTTGTCAGATAATTAAGCAGTCGTCAATGCATTTAGAAATTCGTTCTTTTTTGTCATGCATTTATCCAATCGGCTGTCTAACTAGCCTTCCATCTAGCCATCAATCCATTCAGTCATCTATCTATCCCGTCGTCTATGCACTCAACCATTCATTTATCCGTTTAACCAGCCATCCATCTATCCATTAAGTCATCCATCTAGCCATCTATCTAGCGAACCGTTTAACTAGCCATCCAGCCAATCAACCTCTATTCTAACCAGTCATCCCTTCATCAATCCAAGCAGTCATCCATCAATTCAGCCATCACTCAAGCCAATCATTACTCCGGTCATCTAGCCATCCATACGGTCATCTAGCTTATATCCATACTCTCATGTATCCACCCAACTGACCCTCCCTTAAAAACCATCCATCTACCCACCGATTGATCAATCCAACCAGCCATCAATCTATCTAGCCACTCCTCCATCCAACAAAGCATCCTTCCATTCGCGAAGCTCATTTATCTAGCCAATCATAGTTCAAGCCATTCAGCCATCCATGTATCCATATAATCAAACAGCCATCTATCCATCAATATAGCCTTCCATCGATCACGCCATATATCCATCCATTCTGTGAACCACCCATATCATCCGGTGATCCATCCGGCAGTGCATTCAGACGTTCAGCCAGTCATTCATCATCGATCTAGCTATCTATCCGTGCCACATCAATCCATGAGGCGATGCATCCATCTGGCCATCCATGCAGCTCACCAGTCATCCGTCATCGATTATACAAATAGACCTTTCTATGTTCGACAAGCCATCCACCCATCTCGCCCATCCATCCATAGTCTCTTCAATTTAGCCATCCATCTACCAGTCAATCTTCATGCCATACGTACATCCTGCCAGTCATCCTTCAATCTAGACAGTCATCCATGCACCCATCCATGTATCCAGCTATCTTTCCATCAATCCATTCATCATTTGTACAGCCATCCCTACAACCATTCATCCATCCAACCTATTTTTCTGTTTAAGATAAAAATTGCCATTTTTAGGAGCAGCTGTAGCTGCAGTGGACCCGCTAGTTTTGTTTAAATCGACCCTCCATAGACCTTTAAAGGCAGTCAGGGCTTCGCCGTGATACTCTACGAGCAGCCTTTTTTTTATTCTTGGCCATGTAAAAATGTAGCCCAATCAAGTAGGGCCCCAGAAACTCTCAATGTACTATTGTCTAATTAGTAGATTATCTTTTTCTACGACATCCTTTTGTTTTTTTTTGTGGCTAATGCTTTAATAAAGTCTGAAATATACTATTTGTTTTGAGGTTTCAAATTGTCCTAAGTTACCGTTTAATAGAATGCTCTCAACCTCCTCGGCCTCTACAAAACAATGATTGTTTGGTCATAATGGATATCAAGTCACTCAAAAATAAGGCAGCTCATTGAAACTGATTGCCTTGTAAGGAATTCAGTTTCACAATGTTTCGTCTGATAATAGAAAGCTATAAATTGATGAGAAAAGAACCTTGTTCATAGGTTTTCGCAAGTGAAATGTTAGGTGTTTCAACTTGCGTGATAATAAATTCAATCAACCATTCAGCGCATCTGACGTACACGTAAGGTAACACGTATGCTTGAGACGGGAAAAAGCTGGGGGTTTGAATCCGGCTGACTCCTATTTTGTGCAAACTATAGTTTTAGTGCTTTTTCCGGTTATCGTCCGTCTGTTCATTTTTGTCGGCTTAGTTGCCGTAGCACGGAGCCTTTTGAAGGTTCAGTTTTACTTTCTGAATTTTATTGGAAATAATTGATTTACATTTGGTTGCATTTGTTTGATAAATTTTGAATTTTGTTTAAAGTTTTTCGAAAGTTTTTGCTTCGTCGATTTTTGCCCACGAAATAATATATATAAATACGCGTGCAATTATTAGGCTCGCAATTACCATTATCGGCTTTTAACTGTTTCATAAGTTTAGTTTCTATGCAAATTTTCCGTTCAGTTGGCTTATTTGGCATTTCATTTTATAGAAATGAACTTATCCAGATACAAAAATATGAAAATATTTTATATTTAGCTTTTCGCGACAGTTTCAATTTTTTTTTCGTTTTAGCGACGCTCTGTCTCACTTTCTGTCTGCTAATTTGTTGTGCTATGTTTGTGTTTTATTGCAAGTTTTCTGCTTTATGGTTGTCGACTTAAACGTATACCACCCCGCAAAACTTCAGGTTTTTAGTTCATTATGGATAAGACTCGGCTCCATAATTTCGATTAATCAAAATCAACCAACCACTCAAGGACCTCTTAAATCTTAAATAAATTAAACTTTTTTTTAAATTTTCATACAACAGGGATCAGAGAGAGACTACCTTGCACCAGCGCAACCAAGAAAAAGAAACACTAGAATATTTTCCCTAATCATTTTCTAATGCTAAGTTATGAATATGTTCATTTTAAATGTTAAAATAGATTTATTTCTTTTTTTAATTCAAGTATATTGTTGTTTTTTTTTGTTTTGTACAATCTTTGTTTTTCTGTTTCAAATATTAGGCTCGCGATTAGCCTTGTCGGCTTGTTACTGCTTCGTAATTTTTGTCTCTATGCAAAGTTACGCTTTTGTTGCTATGTGGAAATCGTTTTTCAATTTTTTTCATCTCAGGCTCGAATTCATTTTTGCTACTTCTTGAGAGTCATGATGTTTTAATCATATACTTGTTGTATCGCTCAGCTTCGCGTGGTGTGAAGCTCAGCTTCGCTTCTGTGCCAAAAAGTCAGTTTATGCTTTTTCATAACAAAAGAGTAAATGGCGCGAAAATATAAGTGACTTTTAATTTCAAATATGAATTTGAATTATTTGATTTTCCTGCAGAATGTTTCCCAGTTGACCCAGTTATCTCCAATTGTGCTAGTTTTATTTTTAAAAAAGTGCCGCCTAAAAATTTTTTGAAAACCAGGAGTTTTATGGTAATTTGTATTTTTCGAAAAAGACTAGCAGTTATTTTTTTAGTCCACTCTGTTTTCTCACTGTCTGTTGGTTTTGTTTTGTAAGCTTCCGTTAAAATTGTTCTGCTTATGTTTAGTGATCAGGCATTCGATGCTTCCCGAGCTGCAAAAGCTACTATCGATTTCTTTGCTAAGATTTCAGAAACTTCTACTTGTCTCTGTTCTTGCTGAGAATTTATTTAAGAGTGTATTAATGCAGTGAAGACTCATATTTAGGTCGTGATGATTTTTTTCAGGAAAAGTCTGAATGTTTGTTCAGGCTCAATTTGATAGTTTTGTGGTTTGACTTTTGGTTTATTGTAAACTTCACTTCATTTCCTTTGTTTAAAGAAAGGCAAGCTCCGCTATCGAACAGCAAAAGTGTAAAATTCACCTATTGATCCAGTTTTCTCAAATTGGGTTTATTTTTATATAAAAGAGAGTCAATTATAAATTGTTTTAAGAAACTCAAATAGGTTTTTTTCTCATTTATTTTTTTGCATTCAACAGCGTTCATTGACTCTTATCCAACTGCTGTTGGTTATATTTTAGGCGATTGCTTGTGTTTAGGGCGTAGGTATGTTCAGACCAGGAATGTTTGACGGAGCTATCAGCGTATCGGCTCTTCAGTGGCTCTGCAACTCAAACTCATCCAAGGAAAATCCTTTCAAACGGCTCTTTGCCTTTTTCACCACTCTTTACTCGTGCCTGAAACGAAACGCAAAAGTGGTCTTACAATTTTATCCTGACTCCCCCCAACAAGCTGAGCTTATCGTACGACAGGCGACGAGAGCAGGGTTCAACGGAGGTCTCATGGTTGATTTTCCGAACAGCACGAAAGCAAAGAAAGTGTATCTAGTTCTGTCGTGTGGTGATATGACGTTTCAAATGCCTCGTGCATTGGGAGAAAACGATGGAACTCAGTGTGTATATACTGCGAATGAGCGAGTGAGGCTCGGAAGGGTTGATAAGAAAGCGATGAGCAGAAAACAATGGGTGCTTAAGAAGAAAGACAGAATGAGAAAGTTGGGCAAACAAGTCGCCAATGATTCGAAGTATACTGGAAGAAAACGCTCAAAGAAATTCTAAATTGATTGTTTTCTTTCAAATTGTGATACACCCCCAGACAGCAATTAAAGTAGAAATTAACTCTGAAATTAAAAGAACGGATTTGTTGAAAACGGATATGATCTCAATGTGTAATGTCTTCAGATATGGATGGAGCGATTGAATGAATAGAGATGAGAGTTCTTGAGCTTTTCTCGGGAATTGGCGGAATGCATTACGCTTTGAGAGCTCTTCTTAACTCAAATAAGAGCGATATTAAAGCGGAAATCACAGCTGTGGAAAATAATCAGAATGCGAATGAAGTGTACAGTTTCAATTTTGGAATTGAACCTATTTGCAAAAACGTGGAGTCATTACCTCGAAGTTATTTTGATGCTTCTAAATTTGACCTTCTTCTTATGAGTCCTCCTTGTCAGCCGTTTACACGTTTGGGTGCAGGAAAATCAGAAGGTGATATGAGATGCGAAGCATTTTTGTTTATAATCGAGTGCCTAGAATTGTCTGAAAATCCTATCAATTTGATTCTGCTTGAAAACGTGCAAGGCTTCGAGAAGTCGACGCCTCGAAATGCATTGATCGAATTGTTGCTGAAGAAAGGTTTTGATTTGCAGGAATTTATTCTAACGCCATTCCAATTCGGAATTCCAAACTCAAGACCGAGATATTATTTAATAGCCAAAATGGCATCAGAATTATCAAGAAATGGAGTCATACATCAGCTTCAAAACGGTCCAATTCAAGAGTTCGGCGATACTGTGAAAACTAGTGTATATGAGAATGAAGACGAGTCTAAGTTGCTTCATCAATGGGAAGAGCAATACCATCAATGCCATTCAGCCTGTGATTATTATCATCCAAAAGTGAAAGCAATCAGAAACTTTTTGAAAGTTCTACCTGCTGAAAGTTACGAGGCGGATATTTGCGAAAATGTGGGTGAAAAATCTCATCCTTTTCCGATTGATTTTGAGAACTTAGAAAATTATAAAATTAATAATGATGATTTGATTTCCAAGTTCCACATTTGTGAAATTTTTAGCTTCGAGTCATCTTGTTTTACAAAAGGATATCCGAAATGCCTAGGGAAGTCAGGTTCAATTTTAAGAATTAAGAAAAGTGAAGAAAATGATGACTTTATGCACAGGTATTTCACAGAATATGAAATAAGTTCACTTTTGGGATTTCCTATTGATTTTAAATTTCCTGATAAAATCAATTTGAAGCAGAGATATGCGATGTTAGGGAATAGTTTATGCGTTCCAGTTGTGACTCATTTACTGGATTTGTTAATTGATCTGAATAAATTTTTATGAATTCCTCTTTTTGCCTGTATTTTTTCTGAAAATCCCTCTATTTGGACATTGACTTGTATTATTTCTATCTGATGGCAGGCAGTGTCTGCTCAAAAGCGAATTGACGAGAAATGTGTTTTTAGCCTATTCGGCTGCAGTTATATTGGCTAAGATTTAGTGTGAAGGTAAATAAACAGTGCCTTTTTTATGAGAATCATGATTATCCATTTTAAGATCTTCTGAGTGATTAATAGTGATGGGTCACGTGAGAACTAAAACTGTGAAGCGAGCAGCACGGGTGCTGATCAACAAGTACTACAGCAAACTCTCCGATGACTTCCACTACAACAAGATGGTCTGTGGCACAGTGGCTGTCATTCCCAGCAAGAAACTGAGGAACCAGATCGCAGGGTCAGTACCATTCTCTCTCACTAGCATGAGGACCAAGGTTTCCATGTTTTGACGCCGTAACTTTTAGCTCCCCGAAAACTTAATTACAACACATTTTTATTCATTTTTTAACAAAAATTTAGGGGGTTGCTGGAGTTGTAGGACACCAAGGGCGATATAAGCATAAAAACCGAATGATTTTGAGGATTTTCAAAAGGTTCTACTTCTGTTGATAGATCTATAAATCTGTAACTTATTTAGTTTAAAAGTTTCCGACAGTTATCTACTATATTGAAAGTTGATCTACTATCAGCTATATTTCAATCCTTGCTTCAGATTATTGATGCTTTTTTTCTGGGTTAGTTGTTCAACTGTTAAAATAAAAGTGGGGTTAATCAATCATGTTCAGATACGTCACTCATTTGATGCGGCGAATTGAGAAGGGCAGTGACGTGAGAGGCATCTCCCTAAAACTGCAGGAGGAGGAGAGGGAGAGGAGGTACGATATAGTCCCAGTCCAGTCCCAGTTGGACCAGGAGACGATCGAGGTCGACAAGGACACCCACGAGATGTTGAAGCAACTCGGATTCGCCACCATCCAGAATCTCCAAGTCATGGAACAGTAAATCCCACCTGAGGAAGCACCATTGGATATTGGAATCGAACTTGGAAATTTATGATAGCTTGAATTCGATATGCGATGCTTCTGTTGATATTTTTGGTGGCACATTGTGAAGCTGGATTTAATACATTTGTACTATTCAGTTTCTCATACCCATTGTTTTTGTTTCAATTTTTGCTCTCGCAATAAGCGAAAGGATTGTAATCGGTTACTAAGCTTTTTCTCCGTTAATTACTTTTTCACAGGTTGACATTGGTAGTCATCTTCACGAACAGACGTATCTTGGACATTACTGCATTTCAAAATCCGTTCTATTCGAAATTTGCTTCCGTGTGTTGATTGTAAGTAAATTTACCAACTCCGATTTTCTTATCCTTCAGTTTTTTCGTCTTTTCTTTTTCCCATTTGTTCGGTTGATTTATTTTATCGGTTTAGTGACTTGATATTGCGTTCTTTGAATCTTTAGGGTGCTTATTTAGGTAGAATTTGTAGAGGTCGGTAAAGGGTCAGACAATGCCAAAAATAATTTCTTACGGCAGCTATTTTCTCGGTTTGCAGATTTCGTATTTAGATAAATGCACTCGTAGTGCTAAGTTTTTTGATTGTAATTTTGTTAGAATACGCATGGGAAATAAAAACGACAAAAAGTTGATTTGAAGAAATAAAAACATAAATGTATTATGGCATGTATTTTTCTAATGGTGTTTGCCTTTTGCCAAATTGTGAAGATAGTTTTTGCCTAAGTATCTTTGAACTCTTGCGATGAGCAAGGGTATTGCAATTGGGTACTAGCCGTTTTTCCCGTAAATAACTTTATTCTAAGAATGGTCAAAATTAGAAAGGGTAAATTTAGGTTCAGTTCATAATAAATTAAACATTTTTTGCGTCTCCGGCAATTTTGGTCTGAAGGTAACGAATACGCCTGTGACGGCAAAGGTTCTGGGTTCGAATCTGGCAGGACTTGTTTTTTTCCAAACAGTGAATATTCAGTTTCAAAAAAATTGTTCACTAATCATTTGTCTGCTTATGTTTTGTCGGCTTACTTGCCACATCATAGAATTGTTTTTTTTTGTTGTAGGCAAGTTAAATTGTAGTTGCTTAAGTGTTTTTTTTCTTGGCGGTTGTGTTTCTTTGTATCGCAACGGGTACGAAGCTCAGCTTCCCCTCTGTGTAGCAAACAGATCGTGGTTGCTTGCATTTAATTCGTAAGGTAGTTGGATTGATCACCAAATGTCGCTCGTTCTTTATCAAAGCGATTTTTCTTTCAAGGTTTATTTTGTGTTTCCTGAATTTTCAGAGACTTTTGTTCCGAGCATTTGAAAAATGCAGAGAAACTATGTATTTGGATGTTTCAGTTTTTTTTCCAAGCAAAATTAGGTATCACAAATAATGATCGGAAAGGATTGAGTGATATATCATATTAAAGCCATTTAAGTCGTTATTTCAATGACTTCAAAAAATTGTCCACGTTTTTTCCGGTGTCGAGAAAAATCGGTTTGAAATAAATGGTTTTTGTCTAATTTTGAGCGAGTACAGCGATCAAACATGCTTATTTATGCTTAAATTAATCCGCTTACAATAGCCTATATATGCTTGAATTTAGTTATGGATTTTAATTAACGTCATTTTGAAAACCAAAAACTCAAAAAACTTCAGCATAAACAATTGAAAATTTGCCGTTATTACTATGACTGTCGAATATGCCCAAGTTGTAGTTTTGTCCAGATCCTTTTATCACACCACGTAGAAAAACGAAACTAGTATAAAAGAAACTAATCTGAAAAAAACTAAACTAGTCTTTGTGCATTTTTAAAGAATATGGTCGGAACATTTGGGCTACTTGCTTATTAACCGGCTATCCGTATTTCTGTTGTTTTGCTTGTCTTTGCGAAGTGCAGCTTTGTGCCTTTGTTGTATGATGAATTTAGGAAATTCTTTAAAAAAAAACAGATTGTTGATTGTTTCCAAATAACAATGGACAAAGTGAAGAAGCTTTCTTAAGTCGTGTGGTTTCTTCGTTTATTTTTTCCTGGTGATAGTCTCAAAAGTGTTTGCTCTAAATTTTTTTCGGTGGTTTTACTTTTAGTTTCCTTTCAGGTTGACTTCAATTTCATATTCTTTTCCGAAGCCGCATTCCACTCTCCAATATAAAATGTGCAAATTGCTAGAAACAACGTGAATGACTGTTAATTTCAAAGGAATAATTTTTGAAAACTCCTTTTTGATCCAGTGTTCTCAAATGTTTTTTTGGTCAGTAAATCGTATAAGATTTTTGAATTTTGAAAAATTTCAAGGCCATATGGAATGATTGAAAAATAATTATATTTTCTAACAAGTTTTAAGTTCCTTGACGGTCTTATTGGCTATATTATTTATTGGCCATATTGAAATAATTTATTCGTTTTTGTTTCGACTTTCAAAGAAAGTTTTAGTCTCTAGACTAATTTCAACTTTTTAACTAGCAATTTTTGGTGGATGCATTTACGGAGTCTGAGATATTGATGCCCAATGCTAAGCGGCCGTGACCGAGTGTGATAAGGCGCGCGTCTCTCAGGACGAGGATCACGGAAATGTTATTTGCACTCACAGTCAGAGGTGTCCCAGTGTCATCCGCCTCAAGGTAGTAACGGCTATGGCGAAATGAATGACATACCACCTCCCCATTGAGGGTCCTGCATTGAGTAGGCTTGGGTTTAAATGCACAAAGTGTAGAAGATATTTCACCTGTGAGCGTTTTCACAAAACTATAATAGTTTTTATATGGGACTACCTCGACTACTATAGTTCAAATTAGGATAATTAACGTGGAAGAAGTTTAAATTATTCGACATTGAAATGTGCTTAGCAATTTGTTCTTATTAATACGTTGCCAGCCGTATATTCACATTTTTACTCTAGGTAGTGTGTTGCGGTATAAGGAACTTTTGATGGCTTTAGAGGGCATTCAGAACATTTAGAGCTTTGATCTGATACGATCCGTCTTGTTATGTATAGAAGGATGACTCAGAACAATTTCTCTTGAGGGATGGAAAATGTACTGTCAATTTGTACTGTCAATTTTTCAAGATCTTAATTGATGGCTGTTACCCTTGGCTACTGGAACATCCGTGGTCTTGCCGAACAAATCCGACTCGTTCTGGAGTATCTGGAGATACCTTATGAGCAGAAGATATACACTCCCGAAGGATACCAAGAGTGGTTTGCGAAGGACAAACTTGAACTGGGAATCGATTTTCCTAATTTGCCATATCTGGTTGACGGAGACTTCAAAACATCACAATCATGTGCAATTTTGAAATACATTGGCCGGAAACACGGATTATTTGGCGGAGGTTCAAACGAGGAAATAACCAAACAAGAGGCAATGTTGGATACTGTTCATGATATGCGAAATAGGTTCTCGACGCTTTGTTACGGCGATGATTTCGAAGCGAAAACCGCCGAATATTCGGAATACTGTGTGAAAATGCTGAAACAGTTCGAAATGTGGTTTGCAAGCAAGAAATATTTGCTAGGTGACAAACTGTTTGTTGGAGATTTCTACATGTACGAGGTGTTAGATATCAACGAAGTCTTTGATTCGAAAGTGCTGGAGCCGTTTTCGAATGTAGCGAGGTTCAAAAAAGACATAGCTTCTCTACCGCAGATCGAAAAGTATCTGAAAAGCGACAAATTTAAGAAGTTTCCTATTAATGGGCCATCGGCTAAATGGGGTGGAGGCAAAGAACAGTGAATGCGCAACTAAACTACTAATTGTTTGTAATTTGCATTAAAAATTACTTGAATTACTCCGATGCATATGGAAATTCAATTTTTTCCATTGACTGAAACCTGTTTGCCAGAATGATGCATATCTTGACTTAGCAATATTATGTAAATTTAAGAGTTAATAACCTAGATATTCATTTAAATAATGTGTGTGAATAACCTAGATATTCAATTAAATAATGTGTGTGGCGAGTTTTTTTCAAAGCTCACAGTGAGCAGGTCAGGAATTAGCTTTTATTTTTGAGAAGTTGAGGCAAAGGTTTTTACATGGTCTTCAACCAAAGAAGGTCATTTTTTGAAATAATCGAAAGAAATGTCTATTTCAGGGGCCCTTAGAAAATCAAAGTTGTGCGCTTTAGATGCATCAAAACATTTTTTGTAATATAGACGATTTAATTTTGTGACAACTTCTGACAGAGTATACTGAATCGGATTGATTGCTTGTGTTGAGATCTAAAAGTTATTTGAGTTATGAAGGAGTGTTGAGTGCTTCTATTATTCGTAGTTTAGTTGCATTTTAGATTTTTTTTAGTTTATTCACTTTCAAGTGCTTAACGCTCGTGTTTCTGAGCTAACCATCAAAGCTCACAAATATATTTTAAATGTTCAACTACAATAGTTTAATATGTAGTATACTATGTAGAAAAATTGGTTTGGGTCGGTTCGTCTGAAAATATCTTTATTATTATTTTTTTAAATTTGAGACTCAATTTCTCGAAGTTTACTCATTACAACCCATTATTTATATCATACGGATCAAATTTAAAGTTATTTTGTTCAACATGGACGCCGAAATTGAGAGTAAGTTCCCGGAAGTGAAATTTATGATCACATGTTCACTCTGCCACAATATCCTGTTCGAGCCTCGAACACTGCCTTGTCAACACTCGTTCTGCTGCAGATGTCTCAGTGCATGGACAAAGGTAGGGTATAAAATTAAACTAATAAATAAAGATCGTTTTTAAAGGCGATTACTATGAAACAGATTACATAAGATTAGTGGAAAAGTCAGAGGCACCATAAAAGGATATGTATAATCCTCTTGATTTAAGGAGCTGCGCTTTAGGGTGTTTTTACAGTTGCATTTCAAAAACTTTTAAACATGTCCTAAACGGGAGTCACTGCTAAACCAAGGTTTATCAAGGAACAGTGTGCATCTTGTTCATTTTCGGTTATTTTTATAGGTTTTTGATTTGATATGTCCATTTTTACACCTGCGAGAGTAACGTTCTTGTAATCGGGAGCTAGAATTTTCCCCGTAAACAACTGTTACAAATATTATTTGCTTTTGCTGCCTGCTTTGTTATTGAACCTTAACAACTGCCAGGTTCGTTGCCACTTGGACTAGAGCTAGCATGGTGCCTTTGCACCATAACGACTGGGGTAGGATTTCGGTCGGATGAAAAAGTATGAAATTGAAATTTTTTTTCGGTAAAAAGTGAATAATCGGAATTTCCTTTTTCTGCTCAAGCTTTGCCGGCTAAATTGTCACAGGATTTTTCGTGTGCTGTAAGCAATTTACATTGCAAGTGCAATTGTTGTTCATTTTATTTTCAGGGGGAGTTGAAATCTTTTGGTTCATTTGGTGTCTGCTCAAAGGTTGTCGGCTTAGTTGTCACATCACTAATTTTTCTTTTTTTTTGTGATGCAAGCATTTTTCCTTGAAGTTGCAAATGCAAGTGGTGTTCCTTGTGGCGTAGGTGGGACTTTAAACTTGTTCTTGATAAAATCATCTTTTTTGACTCAACTTGTGTCTGCCTAAAGACTGTCGACTTTGTTTCCTATTCGTCAATTTTGTTCCGTTGCCTTTTTATGATTCAAATTTTTGGCGTGTTTGCCTACAATGAACTATTATTGAGAAAAACGAAAATATAACGTTTGGCAGACCTAGTTTTTCCACCTTTTTCCATTTTCGACTTCTAATGTTTTGTTTGTGTTCGTGTTGTATCGCAAGTGGTGCGAAGCTCCGCTTCGCATCTGTGTTACACTTGCGATAACCAAGGTTGTTGCAATCAGTTACTAGATAAAAAAAGTCTTATCTAAATGTTTTGAAAGCCAAATTTTTTTCAAGTTTCTCTTAAAAAAGTTTGCTCAATCCTTTTTTAAGATTCAATTGTTTTACTTATTGGCTTTTTTTTGAGCGTTATGTTTGTTTACGTAAAATTTAAGGCAAAGAATAAAAATTTTCAAAGAGATTTTTTTCCAATATTTTAAAAGTATGCATTTGAGAAGCTGTAGTGAGTGGTTGGACAGGGATAGGGATAGGCCTTGGATTTGTGCAAAATAGAACCAGAGTTTGAATTGTATCTCAACCTTTTCCAGAAGTGACTATTAAGTTTTCTTGGCTCATAATTTGTTGCCAGTTTAATTTCCATGATTAATTTTAATTTGATGTGGCTCTAAAAGTTCTGACAATTTTACACAAGAAGATTTATTTCAAAAAAAGATATTTTTATTTCCGCTGCTCTACTGAAACCGTTGGCTCACTATTTTCGGCATGGTAATTTATAGCTGTTAAAATTCAGAAACATCAACAGATATGTTTGTATCAATGTCTCAAGTCTTATATACACTATGAGGGACTTCGATATATTTTACTGCCTTCTGTCATACCTTTTGCTTTGAGAATTAATTCAGTAGTTCTTTTAAGAAAAAACCAAGAATTAGCTCTTTTGTTATCATTATTGAAATGATTTAGTCTTGAATTAATGTTTTATTGATTAGGAAAATCAAACGGAGAATCATCTGTTGCGAAAGCAAAAACTAAAAGCTTGCGGACGATTTTTTTCCTTAAAGTTTTATTATACTGATGAACGTGACTTTCACATTAGACAGCTTGTCGTCTTGATTTTTTTATATTTAATTCTTTCCCAAACATGATTTCATCATATTTTCTTTTTTAAATGATATACTCAGTTTTTTTGCATGTGATCTATTAGTTTTTTAATCAATACTGAGAAGGTGTGGGGAATGCACTTGATTGTAATTATGGGAGAATTTAAAAAGTGTGCGACAGGAATATGCCAGAAATTAGCTGATTTGTTAAATAAACATGCAAGTTGAAACAAGGATAGCCGGTTGCTATGCAAGTAGCGCAGAATGTTCTGACCATATTTCGAAAAAAAAAACAGATAAAATTGAAACATAAAAATTGATTAAAAAAAATTCTATTATTTTCTGCTCATTAGTGTCGTTTTTAGCATGGCTTGCGATTTTAGAATTATACAAACGCACAGAAACTTAAAGAATAAGACATAACGATAACATTTGTCTTCCAAAAAATGGAAAACAAAAATTGAAAAAAAGAACATGTTTTTTCTTTTTCAAATTTTATTTTAGTTTTTTTTTTACAAAAGTTCTTGCCAACGAAGCACAAATTTTTGCATCTTAAACTTTTTTTTCGAGTAAATTTATTTTTTCTTGGCCTTAAGGTCGAAAAAAGAGAAACAATCAAAATTTTCAATACAAAGTTCCTCACCATTTTCAATGGTCGGAATATTGATTTAACTTCAGATAGACAAACACCTGGATTTGAAATCATTATCTTTGTTTCAACTTTTCAAATCTCATCTTTGCTTCTAAATTTTTACTGTATTAAACCCCTAAATTGAGGCTATAGGGGGCGGCTCAGTTGCCTCAATATTTGTGGAACTTGCAGAGAAAACTTTTCACTCGGGGAAATTATTCACATTTATCACGCCCATTTTAGTTGATTCAAATGCATGTTCCAAGTGTACCTCATTTAACGCACACTCAGAACCAAAAACGAAGATGGCTTGAAAAATAGCTGTTTTGTTCTTTAAGTAAAACTTGTAGAATCTGAGCAGAACAAAAGATACATAAAAACCAGGATTACTCAGTTACGGTTGGTTTTACCAAAAGGAAATCAATAATAGTAATAATTTATTATTTTTAAACCTGTTTCTTCCAAATTTTTTATTTCTTTTTAATCCAAAAGTTTTTTCACTTCAGTACGATAAAGTTAATATCGTACGATATTTTTAATTTATGGCAAAAATCTGAAATTATCTACCTTCTAGCTGCATTGAATTTTTATTGACAATCCAATACGTGCCTTAAACAACTTTGATATTTTTTGAGTTTTTGCAAACTAAATTCTTTGATACGTTTTTGGTCTCTGCATAATGAAAAATTGAATTTTTTTCACATTTTTTTCAAAAATTGTAGCAAAATTAGGCTTTCAATGTGATGGGGATATAAAGCTACACGATTCAAAAAATGATTAGAAGCAGTAGCGGACTTAGAGCGGGGGGCGTCCCCCTTTTTACTACTTTGAGATATCCATTTTTGGCTGACTGACCCTAAAATTTTTCTAAAGGCGCCTTTGGCGCCAATATAGACTAATTTTGAGGGGGAGCGCGCGCCGAAAAAACGCGATTTTTTGGTTAAAGTTTTCCAAAAATGCCTAAAAACGCCTTCTTTGGCCTGTTTTTTCAAAAAATTGCCTGCGACGCAAGAAATTTGGTGGAAAAGTGATTTGGCAGAGTTCAGAATATCAATTTGGTCGACCTAAAAAAAGGTCGACAAAATTTAATAATTCGCATTGCCCCCCCTACCACAATAAAGTCTTAGATCCGCCCCTGATTAGAAGGATTTTATTTGTCCCGGTCCAAAAAGTTGTTGATATTAATTGAAGCGCCTTAAGTTTCATCTATCTCTTGAAATTTCGCAACAATTAGAAAAAGTAATAGCCATTTTTAGAGGTCTATTAAAATTAGAAAGCTGATACCGACCTTATAGAAAAAAATATCAGTCAGTCTGTAAAAACGATGTTACGAGGTAAATTCATGCCTGGAGAAGAATTCAACGCGCGAGAAAGGCATATTTGTAAGGCCTCCTCCTATTCTATGCAATATATTGTATTGTGATAACGTGAAGGCAAGCTTGCCTACACGTTATCACAATACATTTCATAGAATTTTAAAAAGGATCACAGCACAATAAAGGCAAGCATGAATGACTTTATAGAACCTAATAGAATAGTTGGCTCATTGTTGCTTCAGAATAGCACGTACAGTAATAGAGGACTGGAATGTCCCACGTGTCAGAATAAGTTCCCAAGTATGACCCTGGAGGACCTCAGGATAGACATGAAGGTGTTGATGCTGCAGAAGATGGCAGGAGTGCACACTTTTGACACGGCCACGCCCCCCACTAGTGGAAGATTGACAAACGGAGATTCCAAATCAACCGGTGGCAGAAACCACCTCCAAGGTCCATCTCAAAACGTTACAAAATATTGCTAACTTATGCAGATTTTTTTTTTTCAATTTGTGGCTACGCGCTTTAGCCAAGTTACTAATTATATGCTGGGTGAGAATTAAACTTTTTCTTCACCCTGAGTATATAAGCATGCAAGTAAAAGTCGAATCATCTATCGTTCTGCTCTCGAAATGTTTCTGAATTTTGAAAGTTTTTTGAATTGAAATGTGTAATTGACTATGCTAGAAACTTTAAATGCAGTTAATTTGTACCTTTTATTGTTGCATGTATAGGAGTTGAGGATGATTTCATTGAGATCGGTGACACAAATGGATCGAATCTGCAGTCGGGAATCAGAATCCAGGGTCTCGGGGATGACTCGGACTCCTCGTACCTCGGAGAGCCGACAGGTGAAGCGTATGTGGACTCAGATCTCAGGTGAGATCATTTTGTCTGCTTTGTTTTCGGGCTGACAAACAAAGCAGACAAAAGCTCTAATTACTAATTATTGGTGATCTACGTCGGTCTCTATAAATGGCAAAAGCAAAAAGTCGGAACAGCAGACAGACATATGGAGCAAACATCATAGCGATCTAGTTTATTTGGCATGAATGGCAATTCTATGAAACATTAAACATTGGGTCTACATAGGGTAAAGCATGCTCATTGCTTGGCAAGATGTTTTTGGTACAACGACATTCCAGCCGATTTCAAAATGCGACTTGAAAAACTTTCGGCGCGTCTGAAGTAAAAATTTTCCCCTCTGTCACTTTTTTTGCACTTCTCGCATGTCCTAAGTTGTCCAAATTCCAAACGAGTAAGTGCTCCCGTTCTTTAAAAAATGGCTTCTAAGGTATTTGCAAACTTAATTTTGCTTTACTGAAATTTATATTTCTTGATACCTCAGTTGTCTGACTAAACTTCAATCAGGCAGGAGTTTTATGCGGAGAACAACGATGTAAATTGGAGTTCCTTGAAATGGGTGTTCAATTGAAATTGTCTATTCTGGTTGCGTAGTTACTGGATTCGTTTCTGATGTTTAAGTTCACTGGATGAGATGGATGGAGCGGCGAATGTTTATCTGACTTCTGAGAGTGACTCAGACCCTGAACAAGACGAGAAGCTTCTAGAAATCTCTAAACTAGAGGTAGTGCACAAGCTTTTTGACGATGAAGACCTGGATACGAGTCAGTTTGATAAGATCTTCCTCGACAAACCGATCATCCGAAAATGCGTCGACATTAAACATAAAAAAGTATGAAAAAACAAGATAATGCGCGCAGTTTAAGCGCAAAATTTTTTTTGTATTTTAACTTCAGTGCTGTTATGTGTTTGAATTTACGAATAATTGCAGACATCAGTTGTTTTCGATAAATATGTTGTTCATGCTTTTTCTCTGACATATGCATTAATATCTGGTCCCTGAATAATATTGCGCAACCCTATCAGAATATTTGATAGTCCAGTGTATAAATATTTGGAAGATTTTGCGTCCAAATTATAGTGTTTTATCTATCTTTTTGAATAAAACATTTTTAAAAAAAAAAATTCATATAAGCGTGAATTCAGGATGCAGTAGCGAATGCTAGAAGAGAATTTTGAACGTTCCATTTGTTAATATTTATCTTTACTTCGTAGGCAAACCTTATCAATTTATTTATGCGAGTATATTTCAATTGTTTAGGAGCAAAAGGAACCCTTCGTGCACGACCTCTCGCTGACTCGCGATGGGAATCTGTTCGTAGTGGACATCAACAACAACGTCGTCAAGTGCTGTGACTCGGAGGGACTGATTCTGAAGAAGAGTCCGAAGAAGTTGACCTTCAGACCCATCAGACTGTGTGAACTGTACACAGGAGAGATGCTGGTGGTGGAGATGAACAAGTTCGGGAGGGGCAAGATCACACAAGTCCAACGGTTTGTAATTTTCTTTGTTGATTTAAGTATCGGTTTCTTACTATCGCAATTCGTATTTTCAAGCAAAGTTCTATCCTGGGCCGTGACGTATGGACTTATGACACGACCATTGCGACACAAAGTATGTATGTCTCGAACATCGTGACCCAAAAAGGGTTCATTGAAACCATCCGGACTCTTCAAGTTCCAAAATAATCTATAAACATATTTAAAACAAGAATAGCCGGTTACTGTGCAAGTGGCACAGAATATTCCGACCATATTCTTTGAAAAATTAAAAGAAATTTTTTTTTCTTCAAAATAATGTTGTTTTTTTTTGTGTGGCATGACAAAATGATCTGACGTAAAACTATAATTGAGGCATATTTGATAGCCATAGTTACACAGACAACAGGACGACAGCTTTTGAAGAAACATTTTAAAAAAGGTAAAAAATAGGTAAGAGGCCTTTTTTTCAGCATGGCCAATTGTCATTAGATTTTTCAGCATGTTTTTTTATATTTGTAATATTTTTGGAAAAGTTTTCTGATGCGGAATTCCAATCTGTTTTTTTTTTCCTGTTGAGAGTTTTCAATCAGGGTAATAAAAATTTAGTCCCGATCAAATAATATTTTTTAATAAATTGAGACGTATACAGATAATATTTTAATATGATTAGGTGGAGTTACAATCTGACTTCTGAATAAGTATAATAATGTTTTCCAGACTTTGCTTGTAAATTTTGATAATTAAATTTTGTTGATTGCAAACTTCTTAGCAGTTCTAGCTCGATCGAGAATTGTATCTAGTCGTCCCTCTTTTTGTGTTGTGATCTGTTCAGACTTCCCAATTTTGTTGTTGCTTGGTCTAGCTTGTCAACAGTCGGCGCCATAACCTTTTGACATTTCCAGTACCACCCCAAAATGATAATAAATAGTGTTGTTCAAATCCAGATTGCAGTCAGAAATGCCTCAGGCTTATAATAATATAATTATAAGTAAAATTCATTGCTGTCAAAAATTAACCAAATCAACATGTCCGCTGCTCGGCGGTATTATTCGACCCTACTTCGGCATCAACAAGCCACAATGTAATTGAATAATTAAGTAGTAATTTTAAAAATTTGAAATGATCAAAATATATGTAGAGAAATAATTAATTCAATATAATCAAATGATATATCCTAGCAATTTGAATGAGAAAGTTTCATCTTGAATGCAACCGGCCAAACAAGATAAGCAAACTAATTCAGGCAATCATCATTTCCTTCCATCAGTTGTGTTAATATCGCATTGTGCGTATGATGATCGTAGTGAACATGATCCGTGATTGATTTGTAAATGGGTTCTACCAATATCTTCGCCAATTTTTTTTTGAATTTTTTTCTCGAGAAAATTATTAAGAACGTCTATTTATGCTTGCCACAAATCTCTTGGTAGAATAGATACTACGAGAATTTTTCAATGTGGTATTACGTCAGTCAATTCCTTCATCGCTTTTGTGATTTCATTTGGCTTTTTTGAAAAAGTGTAAATATCTGTAACTCTTGCGTCTTAACCTTACCTTTCCAACACGCAACCCTTAACCCAGATAATTCAATGAAAGGGATTTCCGTTTCATACACACTACACACCATTCGAGTAAGTGTTTTTCAGATAATTACCGTGACTATCGTCTTTAATCCAGTCCTTTTTGCTTTTTGTCTTCTTTGAATTGTGTTTTTTTTTAACCATTTGTTCCTTGCTAATTGCGTCGGTATGTAATCTTTCTGAAATCTGTGCCAGATTTGATGAACATTTATTTGAGCTGCCTTGAAATTCTTCCGATGACCTTCATATTCTTCCGATGACCTTCATACTCTTCCGGGCGTATTGGGAACATTTCCGATCCTGATGATCGAATCAAGGAATTATTTAGGGCAATCGCTTCAAAACTATCAACGTCATCGGGAACTAATCTGAGAGGTCTTTGGCTTAGAATTCCTTCAACTACGCAGACAGCTGTGGTCAAAATGTGCTCTGGCATGTTTTGTGTTCCCTTGACATTATACATTGCCTTTTTTGCACTCCTCACGAGTCGTTCTCGTGTGGCGCATTTGGTGGATTGAACTTCCGTTCAATGTCCCGATTTAATAATATTTGTTAATCACTTAAGAAGTATACAATAAAGATTATAAAAAAATTAAGTGGACTTACAACCTGGCTTATAAATAAAATATTGTTTTCTAGACTTCGCTAGTAATTTTTGAGAATTAAATTTTGTTGGTTGCAGATTTCAAAGCAGTTTTTGATTGATCGAGATTTGTATCAAGTTGTCCCTCTTTTTTGTCTTGTGATCTGTTTAGACTTATTTCTCATTTCTGTTGTTATTCAGTCTAGCTTGTCAACAGTCGGCGCCATAACTTTTTGTCTTTTGCAGTACCACCCAAAATGATAATAATCAGTGTTATTCACATCCAAATTGCAGTAATAATTGTCTCAAGCTTATAAAAATATATAATATAAATATAGGTAAAATGTCCTTGCTGGCAAAAAAAGAATCAAATCATTCCGATGCTCGGCGTTGATTAAAATCAAGTTTGATTCCCAAAATGACATTAAAAATCTCCAAACACTAATTTTACTCGAGTAAAACTAAAATTAAGCAGAAATAAGCGTGCTAGCTTGCTTTTTTTGCTCGAATTTGTACGAATTTTTTTTTCAAATCGATTTTTCTCGACACAGAGGAAAATTTCTTCAAAATTTTAAATGTCGTTCGTAACACGATCGAAACAGCTTTAGAATTATATATCAGTCAACTCTCTCCGATGATTTTTTGTGTAGGCTAATTTTGCGTGGAAAACAAAAAAGGACAATCTAAAACACCCGAATAGAAAGTTCCTTCCCATTTTTCAAATGGTTGGAACAAAAATGGGGCGCATTGTGAAGAATTACACGAAAAAGTAGTGAATTCGGGGTTACAAATCTTCAAAATGTGAAAGTATACGCTAGCAGAGCTTTCGAGGCAATGATCATAAACCTGGCTCTAGCTCATTTGCGTGATTTGAATGAGCGTCTTGACAGCCATTTTCAAGCATACACGCATCGTATAGCATACAAAGTTGGTGATAGTGCAAACTGAACTGTCAATAGACACGCATGCTTAGACTTTTATACTTCATGGTGGCTTGTCCTGTTTGATAGTTCGATGATCGTGCAATTCAAGAAAAACAATAGGTGACTTTAAATTCCACTGATGCCAGCCACTCGTTTCTATCTAGACATATACTGAAATAGACACGAAGAAACCGGTTAAGCAATTAGTAACAGGTGAAAACTCGTAAAAGGCGATGTCATGTAAGTAGCGAAGCAGCGAACGCTTGTTCCGCGTCGACTCGAGTGAGTGGTATTCTCGCTGTAATAAGTCTTTGTCGATTAATCGGCTGTCACCCGTTTTCTTCTGTCACAAATAGTCACCTCACGGTTAAAAATGCTATAATAACAGAAATACATGACTATCGCCACATAAAATAATGAAATATCTATGATTGTGATGGTGATAGATCTCTGGCTGACAAAGAGTCTTCGAATAAAGACGTGCTCCGATCCCTGAAGAAGATCTGCGTGGTGCGTCAGATGCCGGAGGACAGGAAGCGGTTCTACTGTGGGGACTCGGATGGGTTTGTGCACCGTGTGAATCTGAGGAGTCCCGAGGCTTACTTGAAGTTCCACTCTGTGCTGCCTAGAGTGTACCACATGGCCACTGCTAATAGCACCATTGCAGTCAACGACGGAAATTTGCGAGGTAATTATATGGGTTTCGCTCTTCTTTAGTTGGTCCCTTTTCAGATCAGTGGTGGAACTAGAGCTTTTCCCAACGAGATGTGTGGGGTGTCAAGGGCATTGGTTTTTTCAAAAAATGGAAAATTTTGTCGACTTTTTTAGGCAGACCAAATTGATTATCAGAGCTTCCGAAAAATCTGTTAAGATCGTTTTTGAAAGCAAGCCAAGGAACTCCTTTTTGGGCTCTTTTTGGACGGTTTTGACCAAAAAATTGGGTAAATTAGCGCAGGGTCCACCCTCTAATTTAGTATATATTGGTGCCAAAGGTCCCTTCAGAAAAATTTATGATCGTTTTTCCGAAAATTTATGTCATAAATTAGTCCCAAAGGGGGTTCCTTTGGGTGGTGTTGGGTCAAACCCCTGAGAAGGAAGTGTCAGCCACCACCTCCGCTCCTAAATCCGTCCCTGTTTCAGCTAAACGTAGATTCAAAGCAAGTTATAATGTAAGCAAACTTGAGATTCGACTTTCAACAAAAAAACTTGCTTCGATTTTGAGCTATGCGTCGGGGATAGCTGCTATTGCGGTTGGTTTTCCCTAATAGCAGAATTTTTACTGGAACAGAAAACTACCTTTTCTGACTAATTTGAGCAAAAAATTTTTAAGATCGAAATAATTTAACTGATTTTTATTTGTATAAGGTTTCGAAATTGGTTTTAGGCAACACATCCAAAATAGTGCGAATCTTTGACGAGCAAGGTGACCTCAAGTGGTCTTACAGCGGGACCCAGAAACACCCCTTCATCTACCACGGAGACATGGTATTCCACGGGGACTACCTCCTGGTATGCGACTTCTGGGCATCCAAGATCCACGCTCTATTCGTCCCTGGAGAAATGCCTGCCAGAGTGATTGACTTGAAACAGGACATTGGTCTCCGGTTTCCCAGCTCAGTGACGACCACTGTTGATCATAAACTGGTGATGGCCGCCCAGAAAGCGGGAGAGAAGAAGAGTTTCATTTTCACGCTGGAATATTTGGCGTGACAAATTTTATCCTCATCTAGTAATGGAAAATGTGCCTCATTTAGTCAAGTTTCTTATCAATTTATTGACAGTTCTAAAAATGAAAATTTTGCAACGCGTTTCTTTTGAACCCCACGATTTTTTGAGTTTTCAAAGTTGGAGAAATTGGTGAATTTAATCGCAATAAAATGCATTAATAAAAGAAAAATTGAAACCTCAAGGTTTTGGATCCGTATGTTTTTGCTTAAAGGCCGTTGAGATTCTAGTAAATTAATTCTTGAATGGCTTTACCCGCAACTGATGAAAACGCAGTCTTTTAATTGTTTTTTTTTTGCAACAAGAAGCTTATGGGACTTGAGATGAGAAATTTTGACTGGTTTTTCTGAGTGATTTCTGTGCTACTGTCTCCAAAATTTGTGCTCACTGCTGTTGTTAATTTCAACAAATTTATCTAAAAATGGGTGCAAATTGCTCGTTAATTTGTCGTTTTTTCCCAGCCCATCAAATGGGTTTCAGTCTCATTCTGTTCCAGCATCAGTTTTACAGATTTAGTAGCAAAAGGACGACGAAAAAAGTTCAAATAAAATAATTTTAGTTTTCAAGGAGAGGTTAGCATTCAATATTTTTGTCTTTTTTATGAATGTTTTTAAGCCCAATTATTGATCTATGATTTGATTGGTTTTTTTATCAGCAGTGTAGTGTATTAGTACGAGCCTTCTTTTTTTCTAAGCTAACTCGCAAATAGAAGTTAGTTAAAGTATGATAGTTGGGTCCCAAAAGTTTAGATGGGTCCCTGAAGAAATTTTTTAGGCCTTAAAAACTTCGAAAATATCGTTCGCACTTGTTTACTTATGTTTTTGAAATTTTCACAAAAAAGATGCGGGACCCATTTTTCCTACCTGCATTTTCTTGGGACCCAACTATCATACTTGTACTTAAAAGCGTTCATTGGAAATAGAAAGTTACTTGGAAGCAGGGGCGGATCTAGGATTTTCTCGACTTTTTTTTAGGTCGACCAAATTGATTTTCTGAGCGCTCTCCCCAACCAGTACAAAGACCTTAATTAGACCAAATTTTTTCCGTCGCGGGCAAATTTTCGAAAAAAAAGCATTTTTAGACTCTTGGAAAATTTCGACCAAATAATCGTGTTTTTTCGGCGCGGGCTCCCCCCTCAAAATTAGTATAGATTGGCGCCTTAAGAAAATTTTTAGGGTCCGTCACCAAATATGGATATCCGAAAATAGTACCAAGGGCAAACGAAACCACGAAAGGTTTCATTTTAGTTTTTTTGAATTTTAATAAAATGAACTCCAGTTTCGATGGTAGGTTACCAAATCCGGTACTCTTGTTTCATTCCTAAAATTGTTAGTTTAATGGTAACAAACCTAAATGTCACTTGAAAGCTTAGGTTCAAATGGCCGACTATAAAAAAAATGCGTCTTGTTCAAATAGGAAATAGGCGGGACATATTATATAATTTATCTTACACGGGAACAAACAACTTAACTATTACCTCGAACTTTATAAGATGAATTTTTAGTTATTTGATTTTTCATTTTAGTTTCATTGCAAGTCATAGAAGCTTTGCTTTGCTTTCATGGAAGCATATTATGTTAAAATTTATAAGTCTTTTTTAAACTGTTTTACAGAGTATTGAAAGTTTACTTATATAAAATCCAGCATTTCAGTTGTACAAGCACCATTAAGGTCAGTTTATCGGTGAACTACTTTTTAGTTTAATTAGCCAACCTGTAAGTTTTTGTAGCACTATTTTTCGTGTTTGCCTAATTTAAATGCAGTTGCTGCTGCCTAATTGTTACCAGCCAGACTGGTTTTATATCAGAGTAAAGTCTAAATGTTTCGACTGCATTGTAGTCGTTCTGTTGTAGTTTTGATAATTTTTGTGATCAATTTCAAAATTTGAACTATTTTTTTGCCACAATAACGAAAATAACGGATCTTTTTGCTTATTCCGTGGAAAAATCAAGGTTTCAACATTTTTAACTGAAATTTTTTTCCCTCAACCAGCTTGGCTAAAATTATTCAATCAGGTTTCAGCTCCACTTAAAAATGTTTTGTTCACAATTTTCAGTCGACTTATAAATAAGCCGACTGAGACAAGACTATAGGTTGTTTGGTTAATTATTCAAATTTCCCCATAGCAGAAAAAATTTTAAAAATAGCTCCAAAATATTGACTGCCTTGTTTGAAAGTGACTAAAGAATAAAGTGATTGCATTTTCATAAACCAAACCAATCAGCGCGAACAACAATTTTTTCTCCGCATATATACTGAATATCACAAAATATCACAAAAAAGTATAGTAGAGTAGTAATAAAATGGAACCAGGAAAGTAAAATGAAATGAGGCAACCTGTTGTTTCATCAAATAACTTGTGTAGTAGTTGTGAAATATATGAATTTATACTTTACATGGGGCAAGGGCGTTTTTTTTTGAAAAAGAAAAATTTTTAGATTTGCTTGTGAATGTTTTTGGAAACATTATTGAATTTGTAAACCTAAATTTATTTCAAATAAGTTGAAGGATAGTTTAAAGATCCAGTGTTTTGCCTTAAAACGAGCAGTTTTCTAAAAGAAAATGTCATCCTTATTTGGCATCCTTTAACAAATTGCATCACACAGATTTGCATAAAAGCAGGTTACTGAAATGTATGACTGATCTTTACCTTGTAAGTAAATTTGGATGAAAAAATTTGAAGCACAAATCATAATATTTTTATTTTCAAGCCAAAACTTATAAATATACATTCTATGAAATTACCATTTACAATTTTGTCGGCTTGAGAGAATATCATAAAAGCACCAGCCTGTCGGGTAACATCTTCATGAGCAAAATCTATTCGAATGTTTTTTTTTAATTTAAATCATATAAACAAAACTCAAAAAGCACGCAAAGTTTCTTCAAATATCAAAACTAAGAAAAGAAACAGAACTTAAAAATCAAAACAATATAAATTTTTCAATTTACAAATAAATTGGAAAAAAAATAAATATATTACAGATGGTCTGATTTGTTTTGCTAATGTTTAAAAGTTTCAAAAAGACTTTGTGCAGTGTAAAAAAAATTTGGCTCAATGTAAGAAGTTCTTGCATTTGTTATTAAAGAAAATTGTTTTTTTTTTACACATGCGGATCGTAGTCTCTTATTCGTAGTCTCTTAATTTTTTTGTAACCCAAATGGTAATTATTAGAGCTAAATTTGGTGGCACCAATGTTTTCACAAAACTGGTAAAAAGACCGATCGTAAGACCGTCTACTCCCCTGTTTGTCGTATATTTGCTATTGTCTTCGAAACTTGCAGTGGGTATTCGAAAAAGCTGAAGTTTTGAATCGTTGATCGTTTCTTCGAAAATATTTTTTCTCGAAATCTACCGTGCCTAAAAAGAAACGGAGATCAAATTTTCAATTGCAACAAACGGTGTTGGGAATTGTCTCCACTCGAATAAAAACTACTACATATTTTTTGTGGAAAAAATTATAGATATACAACTTGACTAATTTTAAAAATTTGACCAATTTTTCAAAAACTTAAAAACTTTAGTTGGAAACTACCCTGCCAAATCTGTGAGAAAGGGTTTAAGTGAAAATTTCTTGCATAGTAAAATGTAGTTTTGTATTGAATTTCTGCTAGTTTTTTTAAAATTGACTTTTCTCGAAAGCCACGCCTCCAAATTTGATACTAAGATTGAAATCACAAGAACATATTGTGCAAAATTTGTCTGCACAAGAAGTTGTGCCCTTATTTTCGAAAGAATAATATTTATGGCGCTAAAAAAAGCCCAATTTTGAAATTTTGACTGCTTTTTGAAAATTTTTAGATTGTTTGTCAAAAATTTGCCGGCCGATCTGAGATTCGGAGTTGACTCAAAGGAAGATTTGCTATGAACTTTGCTGCTTAACCGAGTGGGCCCCATTATTTTTTCAGAGGAGCAATTTTGGACCTGAAAAGTTGATTTTCCGAAATAGAGAAAGCTCTGATTTTCTTGAAAACTACCGTGCCAATTGTACAATTAAGATTTCAATGCAAAGAAAAAGTTGTGGGTGTATCCCCTGCATAGGTTGATTCTAAGCAACTGTGTCAGGCAATCTGCTAGAAGGGACATAATTTTCCACGTAATCATCAAAAAGGGACAATTTGATCCGTTATGTGGACTTGGCTCAATTTCCCTAAAATGCCCGTTTTGAGGTTAAGAAAATAATCAAACGGAAATTGTTTTTTTTATTTCCCTGGCTCGAACTTTTTTCTCAAATTGCTAAATGAAAAATCAGCAAAGAATTGTTCAATTTTTAAAATTACGCATCAATTCATTTAAAACTGTCAATCAGTTAGTTACCTCCAGCTGCGACTGAACCCTCAGTCTGTTTTTCTTTGCTGCATTAACATCATACCTTGTTTTTTTTTGGTGGCTATCATGTGAAAACTCTGAGGTGATTTTGGCGAAGACGCAGATTCTTAATCTCGAAGTCAAGGCTTCAATACCAGAACCTAGCAGAGTTTTTTGTCTCATAGTTTTTTTCTTTTTTTGTTTCATTTTCGACCTTCTAAGAGCTACATTTTGTCGCTGTTTTGCATGAGTTTGCAAAGTGCAGCTCTGTCTCTGTGCTTGATTATGCAGTGATTATTTTTTGCACTTGTATATGACCTTAAAATCATGTTTTTAATTACACAAATCTTATGGATCATTTTACTATACTTAGAAGATAATTGTTTTTTACTGGACAGTGAGTTGTGTGTTCAAAAACCTGTAAGTAGTCATTTTTTGCTTTTCAGGCCAAGTTTCACGTCCGATTGTTTGTTGTTTTTCTTAGACCTAGCTGCCCCTCCTCCAGTTTAAACTAAAAAAAAACTTTACAAATTAAGATTATTTCTGATGATTGTTTTTCAGTTGCTTTAAAAGGTCGATTTTGAAATAGAACTAAAAATTGAAGCTAAATCTCCTTGAACTTTAGTTTGAAAGCAGACTTAATCGCAGGCTGTAATTTTTTCTAAAATTTTTTGCTTTATACTTTTTGTGCGAGATCAGAATCATTGATTATGATCTTTTCTGCTTTCATTTTAAAAAACAAAAATTGACACACAGCGCTTCAAATCACTTGCGGTACAACACAAACATTGGAAAGTGGTTAGCAGAAATAAAAAAGAGGTGAAAGCCACCGAGTCGAGAAATTGCAAAAAATATATGCCAACACTCGTTTCATTAATATTTGTCCTTAATTTTCTCAAATGAAATTCAATAGAATGAAAAGCTGTCGAGAAACAAGAATGCCAGCCCTAATTTTTGCTACGTAACAAAATTTAGAGAATGGCTGGGGCTGATTGCAAGGATGAAATTTAACTATCCAACAGAGGGGAAGCAAAACTGCAGTACATGTGGATGTGATACTGCGGTTGAATGATTAATAATTGTTGTGACTGATAATGAGTGTAATTTTGTGTGAATTGATCAGCATTTCTTTCTACAAAAAAAAAATTTTTATTGAAAAAGTAATCTTTGTCATTAAATAGAAAAATGCAAGTCTTGAAACTCATTTACTTGCACTATAAACAATTTTCGTGTTGGCATTCGGGTTGTCAGAACAGAACTGAGTCTTCCAAAATTTTGTGCTAGGAAACTAAAACGACTAAATAAGCAGGCGGACGATAATACTCTGTATGAAAATGCAGAAATTTCAAGTTTGCATGCAGAAGTTTGAGTTTAAATTTAAAACTGCCAGCAGTCCAAATAATTCAGTGATTCTGTTACACAACTCACTCACCTGAAAAATGGATGTTCCTATTGGTTAACGCTTGCTAATTGCAAGTCAAAATGCTGGGGAAAAAACAGAAAAACACACTCTTGAGCCTTTGTAGACAAGAGTTTCGCCAAAAAAATGTTTAAAAAGTGTCGCCTTTGCCTGCAAAAAAAATGTAGAAAACAATTGATTGATCAAAACTTTAAAATCATCAAAAAATGTTGAAGAAAGTGTTTGGTTTTTTATTTTAAAATTCGATGTGACCGTAACTCGAATCACTTGCAATGATATTTTTCATATGTTTTTCATACATATAAGTTGAAACAACTTCAGGTGCTGATCTAGGATTTTCTCTAGGGGAGGGTGGGTGTTCAAAAAATTTTGCAAATTTTGTCGACCTTTTTTTTGTACCAAAGTGAATTTCCGAGCTCTCCAAAGCACTAAACCCTGCTTTGATAAAAATTTCTGCGCCGCAGGCAAAAGTTTGAAAAACAGGCCTAAAAACTCGTTTTTAGGCACTTTTTGAAAAATTTGTCCAAAAAAATCACGTTTTTTCGGCGCGCGCTTCCCCCTAAAAATTTGTATATATTGGCGCCCAAGGCTCTTTTAGAACGTGTTTAGGGTCCGTTACTAAAAATGGATATCTCAAAATAGTACAACGGAGGGACCCATTGCGTCGGCAGGGGTTCGAATCCCTGAATGGAAGGCGTCCTCCCCTCCCCTCCCCCCCCCCCTTAACCCGCACTACTATTACACTTAAGAGGCATAAATTAGAAACAAAAAAAAACTCTGGCTACTTAGATTGAAGATGGACCTAACTTCAGTCAATCTGTAAACAAAAAAAATACCCGGGTTGACCAAAACTTCTAATCATACAATTTCCATTTATGAAAAACTTCTTGTCATACAATTCCATACAATGCCATACGTACAGAACATTGTATGAAATCTCTATGATAAACATTTTTCCATTTATGAAAATTGTATGATAGGTGTTTTTCCATAATCCAAAAATTTTGATTTTTTCTTTCTAAATTTAGTTTCTGAAAAATTTCCGGTTGTGTTTGCAACCGAACACAAGTGACAAAGACCTTGGTTACTCAAAACACCAAAGGTTGGACGGTCTTGCATTTACAATGCATAGCAAACGACCTGAATTTGGATGTTTTTCACAATTGATATAACAAAAGTAACGAACTTTTATTTTTTGGCAAAATTTTTTAATGATGATTATTTTAAATTTTTGATTTTTCAAGTTATCAGACATTGATCAAGGCTCACATTAACACCCCATACAAAAGAAATAGGAATTTTCAGCGTTTTTGAAAAAAACATTTTAGTGAAAAGAAAATAAAAGCCAATTTTATCGTATCCAGGACTAAGTTATGCACACAAAATATTAAATTTTGCATGCAAAAAAAAACTTCGAAAAATGTTTGTTTGCGTACGAAATTCGATTTGCGGTTGAAAAATAAAACAAAAAATTTTTTGGGCCAAATTTTCAAAATTACTAAGTCGCCATCAAAAAAATGCCAGTCATACAATTCCCATATATGGGAATTGTATGATAATCATTTTTTTCAAAAAACGAGAACCTCAGTTTTTTATCACCAGACTGTTTTATAAGAATCAAACATCCACAGAAATAAGTTTATACCAGTTTTCAACCATTTTTAGAAATTGTATGAAAATTGTATGACAAGCATTTTTCCATACACCTGATGTATGGAATTGTATGATAACCATTTTTGGTGTATGGAGGTCAACCCGGGTACGGAAAAAGCTAGTACCCGTTTGCCATGCCCGATCATTGCGACAGCAAATAATTGTTAGACTCATCTAAGAAAACTGAAAAAAAATTGATTATAATGGATTTTTGAAGTCTAAAACATTGTCAATATAATTGATTCCCAGGTTAGGCTTAGACAACAAAATTGGACAAAAAAGTGGATATAAATCAATTTTTTCTCGCCAAACATGCAATATAATTCATTTAAAATCCATTATAATGGATTATAAAAACAAGTACAAAATTATATTAAAATGAATTTTTTCTACTTTATTGTCGTTTCGCGTCGCCAAAAATATTGCAAGAATTTCTGCATTTAACAAATAAGTAATGCAAAATTTTTGCAAAGTGAGTGTACATCCTACTCCTTTTCTAAACCTTAATCGATTTTTTTTTTCACTTTTATGGACACTGACAAAAAACTCAACTTTAATGGATTTTTCTGACTTTGTTGAGATGCGAAATCCAGCGCATATAAAGTCTTTTTTATGTTTCAAGCATTACGAGGCGAAACTGTGCATTTTGTGCATTTTAAGCAGATTCCGCAACAAGGACGCTCCCTTTGTTCTTCTTTTATTCTTTACTTTCCTTTGATCGTTCTGACACAATTTTAACATGTTTAAAGACTTGTCTCTGGAATCCAGGAACATACAGACACAAAATTGTGCGCCTATCCACGATTATTATTCATGCAACTCCAATGCGGGTAGTTTTGATTTACATCGTAAGAAATTATCGCTTCTGTCTAGCAGTCGATAAAAGAAGATTTTCAAAGGAGATTAGAGACATAATTCTGAGAAATTAATTTGGTATCATTTTTTATAAATCTGAGAAGTATTTGATTTTTTTTCAACGCGTAGTAACTGAGTTATGTTTGATCATTTTACTGTACATGTTCCCGAAATGAAACTTTTGTTTTCAGCAAAATGACGTTCATATGTAAAAAAAATTTAACTTTAATAACCACGTGCTGTATTATGCTTTTCTACCGCAGGTCGCTGAAATTAACTTATAATACAGTACATTCACTCAATACTTTTGCTTGTTTAGTAGAGTAAATCGAATTTATTTTTACTTGCTTATGATATTGTGCGTTTTGACAAAACACAGATTGAAGAAACTGTCCAATCAAAAAAACTGCCAAAAAAACATCTGTTTTGCCTGTCTTTTTGTGTCGTGTTTCTTGCCATGAGAAAACAATTTCAGAAATAATTAACAAGGTACAAATTTCTTAAGAGCTTAACTGTTCAATTTTTTCTTTATAGTTGGGGGGATTCTTTACAAGGTACTATAGGATGGGGGGGGGAATAGCTAACAAGATCCAAAGTTTTTTATGTAATAGAGCGTGCACCTTGCTGAACTAGTTTGAACAAAAAAGAAGTTTTTGTTTCCCCGCCAACTCAAGTAAATTTTAATACTTACTGAAGATCTCAATTTAAATTGTAAATAATTGAAATGTTTAAAAAACATATTACGGTTGATGAAAAGAGCAATTTTAAACTTAAGCCGTGCTAATAAGATTACTTCTTACCTGAATTATTAGAAAACTTATGTTCTCGTCTGAACAGAAAAGCAGAGAAGACGAAGCACATTTGTCGCTAAATTTGAAGCGTAGGCAGTAATTGATAATATTTCCCCTAATTTACCACCAAATAGTTGAGGATTCTTCCAAAAACTCAAAGGTTAGTTATTATAGTCAGATAAACCAATTCTTCAGAACCTATTTTTGACAATGGTTCCACTACATCAGTAGCCTGTTAGTCGGTGCAAAATATAACGTAACTTACTCAAAATTTGCGAAGAACCGATATACATATTTACCCTTGCGACAAGCAAATGTATTGCAATCGGGTACGTGCTAGACTTTGTTCCCCGTATATAAACTTGTTCACAAACGATTATCAGTATATTTTTTATATCAATTGGTCAAATGATTATCAGTATATTTTGTACCCATTGGTTCATACGCATGCTTAATTGTTAGCATGGTTGCTGTATTGGCCTTGTGTTTACGTTAAGAGTTGTTTTTAATATTTTATCAGATTCGATAAATTTTGGTAGATTTTCGGCACTGAAGTTGTTCGGCTTTAATTTTGTCTACTTAATTTCTTAATGTTTTTTTATCTATTATTTATGTTAGTTTTAGTTTCAACCTGTCAGAACCTGTTTTTTTCTGCTTTTTTCTGAATTCTGCTTTTTTGGACAATCATCCGTCTTTTTCGTTTTTTTTGGCTTAGTTCCCGTTGTGCAGAATTTTTTTGAGGGTTCAATTTTTTTTCTACTTTTCTGAAGACTATTAATGGACGTATTTGAGCTATCGGCTTTTTGCAAGATTTTTAAAAAAATATTTTGCTATATCGGTTAATGAGCAACGAGTTATCACGCATCCAATTAAAAATCTTGTTTTTAGCATTGCTGGGTTATTACCGCGACTTAATTTTTATTCCAATACAATTTCAACGTTCAGTTGTTTTTTGGCATGTTGTTTTTTTTAAAATGATTTTTTTTCCAGACAAATTGTTACAAAGATAAAAACAAGTTAGTAGATTTGGCTTTTCACGACACTTTTTTATGATTTTTGTTTTACGGCAGTCTTCTCATTTTTTTTCTCCTAGTCTGTGCTGTTGGGTTACTGTTGCACTTCTAATTTTCTGCTTTATGGTTGTCGACTTAAACTCTGTCGGTTTAGTTGACGAATTAGGTCTTGCATTCAGTACATATAAAGCACTCGTGGACAATATATAGGCAGTACATTTCGGTTGATTTTCAGCTTATTATTTGTCGGGTGTAGTTTTGTCGGAATTTCTAATATTTTGTTTCCTACAAATTTTTGGTTTTGTTTCGAGGTCGATAAGACTCCGGCTCCGTATTTTCGAATGCTCAATATCAACCTCACAAGGCCTTCTTACTCTTGAAAAAAACTTAAATTAATGTAATCTTGAAAAAAAAAGTTTCTTTTTATTCATTTAAAAAAAAATCGTTTTTCTAGTTTTTCTTTTTTGTCTTCGCTCGTAGTCTCGTTTGCTACTTCTTCAGTTCCATACTGTTTTAATCTTGTACTTGTTGCATCGCAAGTGGCGCGAAACGAAGCTTCGCCTCTGTGTGAAAAAATTTTGATTACCGTATCATTTCTAATGCCAAGCTTTTCTAAACAATGGAGCAACTAGCGCGTCTCAATTCAGTTTTTATTGATTTCAGAATCGAATTTTTCTGCCGCCTAGGCGCCGAGTTATTACAAACATTAATATTTTCAGGAAAAATTTGGCAGTTTTTTATGACCCATCTATAAACTTTTTCGAAAAGCGCCTTGAGCAGGATTGTACACTAAATTTGAGCTGTGAGCGCGAGCCATATAGCACGCAATAGCTATTCCAAATAGGCCAAATTGGCATTGCAAGGGATTTAAGAAGGCGTGCAAGGGCATTTGCGTATGCTTCATGTGATTCGACCCTCTCATCACCGTTCCCCAGCCCCATGGATACTATTTTACGACATCTATTTTGAGCAACCGACCAAAAACTTTTTCAACTGCAATATATGTAACTTTGAGGAGCGTTCTTGTCAAAACTACCCTTCAAGTGCCCTGCAAAGTCATTTGTGCTTTTTTCAAAATTATAGGGCAGGGTTTTATGGAAGCTGGAAAAATAATTTTGGTCGATCAAAAAAAGTCGACAAATAATAGAACCCTCCTTTCTCTTTTCATCGAATCCTGTACACGCCACTGCAAAAAAAAATGTTTTCTTTTTTATTTAAAATATGTTTCAAAAATTTTGTCGACCTTTTTTTTTAGGTCGATTCCTAATTGATTTTCTGAGCTCTCCCAAATCTTTATAAAAACCTTACATGTATTTCGATAAAACTTTCTGCGCCGCAGGCCAATTTTTCAAAAAAATCAGGCCAAAAAAACTGTCAAAATTAGAATATAAATTTAAGGTCAGTCAGTCAAAAATGAATGTCTCAAAATAATTCAAGAAAGGAGCCCCCTCGCCCCCTCCCCCTCGCCTAAGTCCGCTGGTGATTAGAAATGCTAGTAATGATGTTGAAATTATTGCTACATTAGCACATTAACATTACTTTACTTTTCAGATAGTGTTGAATTTTTCTTTATAAAATGGCGGCTGCTGTAAGCGATGAATCGACTAGACTATGCAGTAGCTGCGAAGAGTCAATCGCAGCAGACCTTCTCTACAAATGCACTCAATGCAACGTCTCAGATGATCCAACAAAACCAGTCGAGTTTCTCTGCGATGTTTGCGTTGGGTTTCACATAAAGAAGAGCCACAACGTGCTGGACCATAGAAACATGGAACCCGCTGTATGTCCGGATCACAAGCAACTCTGCCTAGACTACTGCATCACATGTAGCGAAACTTTCTGCTCCAAATGTCTGGAAAAGCATCGTAAACATGACACTATGTTGCTGGGCAAAAAAGCATCTGAATTGCGATCAAAAGTGTTCGAATTGCTGACTGATTGGGAAAAAAATGAAAAAGTGGCTCTTAAAAAAAGCGAAGATGTTTTGAGCATTGTTGATGTCCATGAAAAAGAAGTTGAACAGATGATTAAAGAAGTGGAATCTACACTGGATAATGTGAAACATACTCTAATTACAGAAATTAGGGCCAAGTTCACAGAGTTCTCAGATGCACGGAAATGGTTGAAAGACCACGTTCAAAAAATAGGCCAAACCCAAACTGATTTGCGAGGTTTGCTTTGCAAGTCAAACGGAACTCTTGTTACTTCTTTTTCAGCTGTTGAAGCTGACATTGAATCTTTCACTATGTCCCATTTGGAAGTTGAAAAGTACCACATGAATGAAGAAAAGTTTGAAACGCGCAAAGGATTCAAATTATTGATTAAAAAAACTCTTACTGCATTAACAAAAGAACTGAACTTGCCTGAGGTGAAAAATGAAAATCCTGGACCAGCTGTTGTGAAAAAATCGCAGCCCGAATTGAAGGCGGGAAAAGTGAAAAAGACCAAATCTTCATCGGAACTGAAATTTAAGTCAGTTGTTGGCTGTTTCACTGACGATTGTTACGAAGTTACTCAAAAAGGTCAAATTGTAGAAGTTCGAATTTTTTGGAGTCAGATACAGTTTTCGTCGAGCAAGTTTTCTACACAACGAGAAACTGCGTGGTGTTTGTTGTTGGCCGTTGTCCTTCTGAGACGCAAGGAAATAATACAAAAAGAGCTTTTTACGTGATCGATTTCCAGGAAAAGAATCAGTGGCATGAGACGTCCTATCCAAATGACATGCAACACGTGCTTGCGCCTTGCGATTTAGATAGGATGGGTTCGTTTGTTTGGTTTTCTTGGGATTCAGAGGCCAAACAAATCCGAGTGCAGCCAAACAAGAAGAATGATAACGCTTTTTATGTAGCTGCGTGTCAGAGTAAGCCTCTCAGCAACGTTACCTGTGATTCTTCTTCTTATTGCTTTTTTGACAGAGTTAGTGAGAAAATTATCATTGCACGGCGCTCCATCCACTTAACGTTCCCTCAGCCTTGTCACCATCCAATCCATGAGCACATAGATTCAATATCTTCTTTCTCCCGTGAAAAAACCATCATAATCGTCACGGGGTCTGTAGATTCTAAGGCTTCATCTGTTTATTATGGCAACTTTGACATCACTGACTCTCTGTATAAGTGGGAGAATCACGCCAGAATAAATTGGTACTCAAAAGAATGCTCAATTCCATTCATATTCAATTATGTATTGGAACCTGTGAACAATAATGATGATGATGTTTTGTTTCTCATAGAAGACAACAATGTTGAATTTGATCAAATGTTCCTATGGTGAATAATACAGTCCACTTCCGTACGTATGAGCAGGTGCCTCAATTTTAATTCAAAAAACTAATTTTGATTCTAACCAGGCAGCTGTTTAAAAAAATTTGCGTATTAAGTAGTTTTAAAGTCAAAGGCTCTTTTCCTCTTTCCCTCCATCTTTCAAAATACCGACTTTCTGTTGGTTGTACACAGGGGCGGATCTAGGATTTTCTCGAGGGGGCGGCGGATTTTAAAAAAAAATTTGAAATTTTCTGAGCTCTCGTAAAGCACTACAACGACCATGTTTTTGCCAAAATTTCTGCGCCGCAAGCAAAATTTTGAAAAAAACACAAAAAGGGCGTTTTTAGGCACTTTTTGGAAAACTTTGACCAAAAAATCGCGTTTTTTTGGAGCGCGCTCCCACCTGAAAATTAGCATATATTGGCGCCAAAGCGGCTTTTAGAAAAATTTTAGGGTCAGTTAGCCAAAAATGGGTATCTCAAAATAGTACAAAGTGGGATCCTGTGGGTCGGCATTGGGTCGAATCCCTGAAAAGATGAAGCGCCCCCCCTAAATCCGCACATGGTTGTACGCATTATTATGGCTATATGCGTCATGTTACGATGTGAAGTATGAAGCCCAAATCTGTTCACAGTTATTAGTTTATTCACCATGCCAAATTTCATTGCATTATGATAAAAGTTAAAAAACTTTTCAAAACTGAATTTGGCCCTTTTTCCTTTTCCCCCACCTCACATAAGCATGAATTTTATGGTGTAATGAGGGGTATTATAAGGTTAATTATGAAGACCAAATATGTTTGTCATGGCCTAAATAGTTTGAATGCCAATTTTCGTAACATTCGGATAACGTGAACAAAATTTCACTAGTAAAATTTTGCAGGTTGGGGGGGGGGGGGGGGGGGGGGGGGAGGAAAAAGAGCCCTGAATTTAAAAAGGGAAGGGGAACTGGAAAACAGTCAACTCAAATATGTAAATTGAAGGTCACAATTTTTTTATTAAATGAAATTGAAAATAGCTCTGCTAACATTTTACGTTTTGAAAAGTCTAAGATGTTTCATTATGGCTCAAAAAAATTGCTCAGCTAGGCTTAAAGTAGGAAAAATTTTAAGGCTCAATTATCAATTGGATGCAATTAAGCCTTTAATCGATTTTTAGAACGCATCTTTATTAACTGACACTGAAGCTCAACTGGAACGATGGTTTCAAACGAAGTCCCTGCTTTGAAACTTCCAAAAAAAAAAGATTCAAATCATGAGTTGAATACAACACAGAAATGCTCATTGTTCATTTACTTAAAAATTGTTAAATCAGGGTGTCGTTGTGACCCATCGGTAGAGAGTGGGTTCAAATTGCACGTGTGCTGTAATTTACAAAGTGAGCTCTTTTAAGACAGCCATTAGCTTAGTTAACCTTAAATAGTTAACGTTTTGGTTAGGCTTCTGACTGGTTAACTAAAAAAATCTAATGTTTATGCCAAAATACATGACTTCATAGTCATCGCATCTGATGAACTTAGCTTACTAAATGTTTGTAGGCTCTAACAACTTGATCAACTTTCACAATCTAATTGTTTCGAAAATATTCAAAACCTCAGTGAAATATTGCAGCTAGCCATGAACTAAATGATCTCAATCATCTTCCAGGAAGTTCTTCCTAGTCCAAAAGTTTTGTTAAGACTCAGAGTGGAAATGGAAACATTGAACTCTTTGACTCACTTAATCAAATCTATGAAAAAATCTCACTAAAAATTATAACATAGCTATTTTGAAAAACGGAAAACGGTCCAAAAAACGGAAAAATCGATCACATTTTTGGAATATTTGTTTGGAATATGAATTACAAGGAAAGTGTTTCAATACGATAATGCACTTAAAAACCTTCAAAATTTATTTGAGGTAGTCAATATCGGTTGAAAAAGAATATCAACTAATACATAGTTTTTTCCTATTCACTGCGCGAGAAGGCCTGAACAAAAACGACAGTTTTATTCAGGGGTCGAAAACCATCTGTGTCTATTCAAGACAGTACACAAGGATAATATACAAAGCAAGCGTTTGCTAACAACGCTGTGGGAATTACGTTAGGTAGTTTCAATTTTTCGTGAATTCCATTTCATTTTTCTAGTCTATTCTCAAGTTTTGTTTTATGTATTTTATCAGTTTTCGGAGGGCTTTTTTAAGGCAATGATCCATAAATAGGAAACCTAATTGAACCGCACGAACACCTGGTTCATCCGCTATGGCTCTCTTTAGGTTCCCTGGAACCTGAACCTGGAGCAGTTTCATAAGATAGCTGTCTCCTTAAATTCTACTCAGAAGAAATCAATAAACCGCAATAAAATCATTTCAACTTGAATTTAAATTTTTTTGATGAAAAGCTGTCCTTAAAATTAGGGACTGTTGCTGGCCTAAGCCAAAAGTTGCTCGATTCACGAATTCCAAGTGCGAGTTCGTGAACCATGCTAAGAATTCGCACTTAAATTTTTGAGGCCCATAACTGGCGAATGCCTACAAACTTGGCTGCAGTAGCTTGAAAAGGCTCCCAAGCTGCTTAAAAGAGGAACGCTGTAGCTAGACGAAAGCTCAAGGTTCTTTGTGCCTGACAAATTGTCATACTGAATCTCTTTTTGCCAATCCGGGAGGTTGGTGTTATATTGATTTTCAAAAGAATTTTTTTTTTGGAATTATTATTATGATGATTATTATCATGACTCTGCAACTCAAAAGAATTGAGGGAATTTCTCCCGAAAGTTAAAAGAGATTAGCAATACAGGATGGACAATCGCAATGCAGCTCTTTTCTTCGTTGTACACGCTGTGGAAATAAAAAAACACTAAAAAAATGGAAGAACGGTTGACTAGGTGCTGACATCTTCTCCAGAAAAGACTATTTGTTTTCTTCAATTTAGTGGGCGGACAGTGAAAACGAAGGTTAAATGGATGGATTATCCAAAAGTTTCCGAAAAAATTATACTCGCGAATTAGCAATGAAAACAAACAAAACTGCTCGTACTGGGCGAAACGTCGAAAATCTGTCTGCAATTTGAGGTCTGGTCTTTGGAGTAGTTTGTGCTTGAAAATGGAGGAAATTTTGAAAAAAAAAAAAACAATTTCGAAAACATTTTTTTTTCTGAAAACCATCCTTCACACGTTATGTAAAATACAAACTTACATAATTCACATGAAACTAACTTAAAAATAGACCAAATAGCATGCCCCAATTCAGTTCGTACAAGTTTCTAAGATGGATTATATAACCGCTCACTCTTTTTAGCACGAATTTTTTCGAGCGTGAATTAGCTCAAATTAGTCATCTGTAACTCCCGTAACCTTGAGAAAAATGATTCCAGGTGAAATCTTTTTTTTAGACAACAAAACCACATGATTTCATAAAATTCAACAAAAAATGCTAGTTATAAAATCGAAACTTGTATGGAGAAAAAAAAACACCTCGAGCACAAATATTGCGCCATTTATTTGAAAGTCGGAACAAAACAGTAGAAAAATCGAACAAAGCATGTAAACGAAAGTTTGACATGAAAACTATTTTTTTTTGTAAATTTGAAAGCTTTTTTAAAATTCATAGGATAAGAGTCACCGCTGGTTGTGATTGTTTTGTCCATTGTTGAAAAACAAACCACGTTGCCTCAGTGTTGACATAATGGCATTGGTATACACATTTTTGTTTAACTCTAAAATCTAAAGACCGATAAAGGTAAACTCATAATTTGTTAATATACTGAAAAGGTCTATCAACAATTCAAAAAAAAATACAATCTATTATGAAATACGATTTCACAAGCTCGGCTGCAGGTCAATAGTCAATTATATCACGTGATTTTGGTGTCGTATATCGGGACAGAAGGGCTTTAGTCGGTGAATGACAGTCAAACGCAAATTTGCTGACAGGTTTAGGGTCCCCTGCAGTGTTTGACTTCCGCGAACCAATTGTTGTTACGATCACAAAGTTTCATGGAGATCCATCAGCCTCATAAAGGGTGAAGTGCACTCTTCGTTCTCTTTAAAAAGAGATCTTGTAGAAGAATGTCAAGAATGAGATATCGGCCAATTGTCTTCCTTTTGGGGTCTTGTTAACTATCGTTATGGCACTTTCTAAAGAATTGGCCCTCCTATAAAAAAAAATTAAACAATTAAGCATACACAAACTTTGTACCTTGTGGACAAATAACCCCCTCCCCTATTGCTACAGGGGAGAATATATGTAACAAGTTTTTTTGAAAAGATGTCAGGTAGTTGTCACAAATAGCAAATTATATTTTTGATACGTTAGAGTTGACCCCCTAAGCGATGCAGGTCACTCGATGAGAAGAAGTCCGTACTATAGTGCCAGCATAATTCTGACAATTTTAGGCACATAAACAAGTGTTATATATTAGATTGAGACTACACGACAACTTAGGGAACTCCTGGAGAATACCTCAAAGGCCTCAGAAACATACCGTTCAATATGTTCACTTTGCTATCACGGAAACAGGCGAAAGTGGAAGCAACCGAGTTTTTTCAAGCCGCAGTACGAGACCTCGCATAAGTTAGGAAATTGAACACGGCTGTAAATACATTATTAAGGGACATATTTACTCTTAACATAAGCAATCCTGAAACTCAAAAAGACCCGTTGAAAGTCACGGCAGCCTCGCAGCATTGTCTAATCTAAAAAAACTTGAAAAATAATATTCCGGACCAATCGAAATTGTTATGAAATTTCGGGGGCAATACAACAAAATGACGGCGGTTACAGTTCCACATTCAGGAACAAATAGAAGCTGAACTGAAACGCTTACAAAACATCAAACACAAAATTATACACAAATTAAACACGAAAAAACTTCTAACAATTGATTCTTTCCCCTATTGTCATTGTAGTAGAAAAAACCGAAAAATAGCTCTTGATTCAAAGGAACTTAAGAATTTCAAATCGGATCTATTTGACAATCTCCCTCCTCCCCCCTATTGTATCTACTAATGCATCTCCTCCACCCCTATAAACAAACACAGTAAATTAGCACTAGAGCTTGTATTGAGAGTTCGAGTGTTGCTGCATTCTGATTGATGGGGGGTGGTGTTGAGAT